CTTGTTTCATTTTGTTGTATTGGAGGGGGTGTTTAAAAATAAAAGGGGAAAAGATTATACTGGTGATTATGAAAGCATGAAAAGTCAACAAGCACGAAGGCACACATGGAAATAAATACAGCAAAATAAAAAAAACTTGTTTTATCCAAGCTGACTGCGTATCTGGCATCCCAGAACCAGATTACAGTATTAGTTTTAAGAGCGTAATCAAGTGATTTCTTCATTGTTTTCATGAGTCCAGATACAGAAGACTATGAGAAGAGCTGTGATAGCACATTAACCCCAGAAATTAGAGCCGAGAATATCCCGTTAATTTTGATTCATGAGCTAAGATTTTTTTTCTTCCTTTTTTCTAACTGCCACTAACTGTATTTCTGGTCTTAGGCTTCAAGTGAGCACCAAGCTACTAGGGGATTTCCTAAGTGGGATTACCCGTTTTCTTCAGTTCCTGCTAGCTGCTTACAGTTGTACCTGTGACAATTTAACCAGGCTGGCTGTCAATGACCAGCAGCCAAACGTGAGGAAATAGCAGAGAGATTTAAGCTCTCTCAGAAGCAAAGTGCATGGATGAAACGTAACCTCAGGGTGGGATTTCTTCTTTTGGCTGAAATTGGTAAAGACTTCTAATTCCTAAAAAAAGAACAGAAAATCTAAGCTAGCCTAAAAACTTCCGCCTTTTTGTCAAAAGAGTCTTGTTTTTCCATTCAGCTTTTGCTGAGGTACAGTCACAGTGCAGAATATAATTAACCCCTGAGTAAAGGAAGAATGGGAAAAGCGTTTCCCTTCTCTTCTCAGGAAAAGCCTTTTGGGGTGGGGGGTGGGGGTCAAAACAGAACAGCACCACAGCTTAAAGTAAAGAGAGGCATAATTAAGCTTTCATACAACATCTGTATGACATTTGCACATACACTCACTTCCAGGGAAGAGACAGACATCAAAACTAATGGAGAACATCCCGACTCTCTGAATGCAGGAAGAATGCTGTAGCCTTCCCAGCTGTGTTCTTGGGACTGTAAAACAAGAGATTGGCAAAGGAGCCTATTTTCTCCCGTATTGCTTTTACTGTTGTTTTTGGCCAGGTAGTGAGCGTTACAAAGTTTGCAAGCAGATTTGGCCTACTGCTCCATGTACTACGAGAGACTTACGTACACCCGAGACTACTGGAAAACAACAGCTACAGAGTAAGCCTCATCATCTCTGTTTGTCATGCACAGTAATTGGTTCCAGGGTCAACACTGTGATGCCGCAACAAAGGGCTATAGCTTAAGGGTAAAGAATAAACAGCAGGAGTTAATGGAAGTTCTGTTACTGTATAAATGCCCCCGAAATGAAAGAAAGGCAGAAAATGAAATACTCTGTATAAGCAAAACTGCTTCTGAATGCAACATGCAACCTTAGCTCTCAACAAGCTGTTAATTTCATTAACAGAAAGAAAATTAGCAAATACTTTCAAGTACCTGTAACAAGAAAAAGACACAAAGATTTTGAAGCTGGTTTGACAAACACAGTGCTTGCTATCAGTGCCAATTTATTTGTGTGAAAATACAGGTAAAGAAGGGTGTCTGGAGTTACAGTATTATTCATAAAATAGCCATTACTAGGGTATAGGCAACTTTGTTCAAAACACCATGTGTGATCGCTCCACTGAATCTAAACATCTGGGGCAAGTTAGGTATCTGGCTTTAGTGCCTTTGAAATGACATGCTACATTTAAGCCAAGAGGTCCAGCCACATCAGTTTTAACAGTCATGTTTTCAAAGTCCAGCAGTTTATCATTCTGAATCTTCCCATTCAATGACACTTTTGATAAAAATATATTTATTCCATTTCCCCACACACCAGGAAAGTGAAACAGGTGTCTAAGAACTGCAAATGTCTTCTTTCAAAGTACTTCTCCAAAGGTAACAATTATCTCCCGACACTCAAGCACTCAAATGAAAAGGTACAAAGAAATATAATCATTCTTGTGATTTACCAGGTGAAACACTAAGACACACAACATATCAAAACGGAATCCCTCGTTTGTATGCTTCACTGTTATCACTTCTCCTTCCCTTTTCAGTTTCCGCTGTTCTCAGGACCTGAAAGAAACTCTTACCTGTTTTTCTTTCACCTGCTCTGCCGCCGCGCACGGCTTTGAGCGCTGGGACTGCTCATGCAGGGTTGCGGCAGGGGCACCGTGCAACCTCCTGCCCCAATGCACTCCCACAGCCCAACGTGAACAGGATGACACTCAGCTACGGCACCTCCTTCCTTGGTGCTCCAGTTTCTCTCCACGTGCACTCCGCAGTCACTCATTTCCTTCCTTCAAAACAACACTCGTTTTTCAAGCGCCAACAGCGTCTCCACAGGCTGATTCCCTGCAGTGTGCCAACCTCGCTGGCATGTGCTGCTCCAGGCCTCAGCCGTCCTCGTGGCCCTTCTCCTGTTAGTAAGCTAACGCCGTGACACCGCTGATGCAAACGTAACACGCCTACCTCCGGCTTACCTCCTTATGCCACTGGTTCAGCTTTTTTCCATGGCTGCTCCTAAGGCTCCCATTTGCCACCATTCCTACACAAAGCACCTATGGTTTGCAGCTGACGAGCCTGAATCCAGACCAACCCCTTCAATACAAACTCTTCTACCACTTCCTTCGGTTCACAACCACGTGATCGTCGCAACGAGCTGGATGAAAGGGAAATGCCTCCAGCCAGGTCCCATCCACCGCCCCACGGCACCCAGCTCTTGGCAGCACCAGCCTGAGTGCCTGGCTCGCCCACAGCACCGCTGAGACGCGTCGGGAAACCGCACTTTGTCTCACTCTGAATTCAGACCCTCAAAAGAAATTTAGCTCGGTTATCTTACAATGTATATGCTGCATGATACCTTCAACACTGTGCATCTGACCAAACCTATTCACCTTGGAAAACAAATTCACAGATAGGGCGGTTATTGCAGAAGACCGCATTTCCAGCTTGTGCTTGTCGTTCCCTCAATGACAGGGATCACTGGAGGGCTGTCAGCATCAGAGGCCTGCTTGGAAGTATCAATGAGCATCCAGGAGAAGCCGTTTACATCACTTGGACACATCTCTAACAGCGACACATCAGCCCTTTCCCATTTATATATATTAATCTATACTTGTTACATACAGTCACACACTTTCTGAATTTTTGCCTTGCCTTTCTCAAACCTTTTTCGGCTTGACGGAGTTTTTAATTAGATTACGTTTTTGGCCCATTCCAACCTTCACCTCCCTAGGTATCATGTTTCTTTCCTTTTGGCTTCTGAAGGCCTCAAAGAAAGTTGCAAAACTGGAATTTGAGTAAATACTGTATGAAGAGTACTTTCCATGATGCCTTGGTTGAGTGAACTTAGTATTTCAACTTACTGAATATATACTAAGAGATTTTAAAAAAAAAAAAAATTCTTGCTCTGATATAACTGACCAAGAAAGGTCAGTCTAGCAGAAAATTTTACCAGCACATAAAAATTTCATTATGCATTAATAACACCTCATTTTCATTACAAGCCTTAGTATTAGGCACTTGCATGCTGATAACACCAGAAATAAAATACCCTAACAACTTCACTTGCAAAATAAAGTGATTATGTTTGAATTATAACTAATATGTCATGTCTGTGTGTATAAACTAATGAAAAAAACAACACTCCATATTTCCACACAAGTAACAGCTTTCAGGCTTCCTTGTCAAACATATGTAGCACTACAGTAGCAAGTAAGTGATCCTCACTTATGTGCACCCATTTTGTTGTCCCAGAACAATCCAAGTAAAGATTAATTTTTTCCTGTTACAACTTTACTTGCCACTCTGTGTTTTACTATTTTTTTAAGGCTTCTCCAGGCTTCAACAGTACTTAAGATTTAGACGTTTCCGGGAAATTGCTGTGCGTGTGGATACAGACGTGCAAGGACAAGAAGCTTCTGCAAAGTATTATAAAGGGGTTTAGGATGAATGTGTTCCATGTGCAGTGTAAGCTGTACTTCCTGAATTCTCTTTTAAGGGAAGAGAAGGATCTATTGGCTTCATTATCTAGTAAAAAAGTCTTTACTACCTACTGAATAAAGGCTAAGTCACAGAAAACTGAACACACCTTTGGTTCAATGGAGCTACACACCTAGCAAAACATGCAAAAGTCAAAGACCAAATGCAGCATCTGCTCCATTACCTTGGGGTACAGTGGGAATGGGAAGACATGAAGTCTTTTACATGCTGTTATCATCCCAACTCATTGCACTCAGTCTTTCACCATCGTGACACTGGCGTGCAACCTCTATTGTTAAAACATACTGACAACGTTTCACGGGGTGGTGGCAGGGAAGCCGTTTAGACCTGAGGTTCACAATTCCGAAAGAACCCATATATGTCCCTTGTGGTTGTGCTTTTTTCCCCACCAAATACTTAGTTTTTGCTGAGAGCAGCTTGCCTCAAACACTATACAAGCAGTAAGATATCACAAGACATATGCTATCCTGAGATAACACACACTTTTGA